CAATTTATATTAAAAGTTTTTCCTGCTAATTTTAATTCAGCTTTGGGTTTAAATGGGTTGATTACCCTATTCTTAACTTATTATACCATGAAGAAGTAAATAAAAAATAGTTTGGGAGCTTAATTGCCCTTTTATTTGTTGAATTAGTTGTTGTTTTAATTGTTGTTTAAGTACAATTTATGTAGTTACATTTCTTTCTTGTTTGTGCATGTTTGTGATTCCAAGGAAAGAAGAGCTTTCCCTATGCTTGATATCCTCCTTTTAATTGTATCATACATAAAAAAACGACCGCTTTGATACTAACATGATCCAATGCTAATCTTCGAATGTTATGAAAAATAAAAGAATTCATGATGTTTGTCTTAATGACATCCTTAAGTAGTTCTTATTTGATTAAGAAAGGAGTGATATTTTTCTTCATTGAACACTAAAACAAATACTGATCCATACATGAAATTGAAAGAGGTGATCATCTATATTGTTTTGATCCATACATGATATCGAATGAGGTGATCATTTTCTCATTTAGGAAAGGGTAATTTTTATGCTAAAACTATATAATTTCATCTTCTGCTTAATATTTATAATGGATCAACAAAACAATCAATTTTTGCACCTTCAACTAAAAGTATGTGGGAGAAGAAAGATATCACTTGGAACCATCTTGTTGAGTGTAAAGCTACTGATGGAAGAAAGCAATACAAATGCCTTCATTGCAGAATAATTTATAAGGATAGAGACATTAATAGGATGAAACAACACCTCACATGTATTTAAGGTAATATTGCTTCTTGTAAGAAAGTGTCACATGACATCCAATATCAGATGCAACATAATTTGAATAAAATAACAATGAGAAAACAACAAACACAAGAAGACTTGTCAAAGAGTGTTGATTTGTTTAGTGATGATTCGATTAAGAAAAAGAGGGGTTCACGTTCAGTCTCAAAATAACAAAGTTCTGATGCACATTATAAAGCTATTGATAAATGAAAGAGAAAAATTGATGAAATATATATTTTTTACGTCTAGAACAAAACCAAGATCTCAACCATCCCTGAAAAGTGTAATGAAATCTAATGATATAGTACAATGTGCTGATTTCATAATTTTTATGTGATTTTATTTTAGTTGCATTTCATTCAATGTTATTAATTCATCTTTTACCCAAAGGGCTATTGATGCAATTGCTGCAATATGATCGTGCTACAAATTACATTCTTATTACATAATGAGAGTGAACATGTTATAATATTCTAAAGGGGAATACAAGTTGTTAATTAAATCTTATTGAAGAACATGGAAAAAAAAATTGGTTGTACGTTGATGGCTGATGGTTGAACAAATATTAGGAGTGGGACATTGATAAATTTTCTTGTGTATTGTCCCGTGGATTTTCATTTTTAAAATCAATGGATGTATCTCATATCATTAAAGATGTCAAAACATTATGTTTATTATTCATTGATATTGTTGAATGGGTTGATCCAAAGAATATAGTTCATTTTATGACAGATAACACAACAAATTATAAGAAAGCTGGAGAGTTATTGCATGAAAATTTTAAAAATCTATATTAGTCATCTTCTGTTGCACATTACATAAATTTTATTCTGAGAGATATTGAAAGCATGCCTTATATTATGAAACTTACAAGAAAAGCTTCTAATATTATAAATTTTATTTATAATCATGCTTTTATATTAGATTGGTTAAGAAAAATAGTAGATTGGACATAAATTATAAGATCAAGAGTAACCAAATTTTTAAAAACATTCATTACCTTACGAAGTGTGTATAATCACAAACATGATTCGCAAGCATTAATCACTTGCATTAATGCATACACTTATTCAAAGTTATTTAAGACAACGAAGGGAAAGGAGGTCGCCACAATTGTTCTCGATGCAAAGTTTTGGAATGACTGTTTGTAATTTCTAAAATTTCAATGCCCCATTTAGTTCGTTAATAGTTATTGATGTACGTAGATAAAAAACCATCTCTTGGATACCTTTATGATGGTATGCACAAAGATGAAAATGTAATGAAGGCATGTTTAGAAACATAAAAAAATGTGCAAGCCCTTCACTGGTATCATAAAGAGAAGATTGGATAATCAGTTAAGACAGAAGATACTTTTAGCAGCTTATTTTCTCAACTCTCATTTTCAATATGACAAGAAAAATTACTGCAAAAAGTTTGAAGTTATGCAAGGTCTAATTAAATTGATTGGCAATAAAGACATATATGCTAAACCATCATTGACAATAAATGATGCGAGGCTTTTTCGTAATAACTTAGAAATGTTTGGGAATACAATTGCATTAACATTGATAAAAGAAATGCAACCGAGTAAGATAGAAAAATCTTGAGATTTCATTTTAATATTTACTTAAATTGTGATGTTTTTGTCTATAACAAACACATTTGAACAAACTAATGGATGTTTATTGATTTATAGATGAATGGTGGATAATGTTCGGCTCTAGTGCACCAAACCTACAGAAAGTGATGGTTAGAATTCCTAGTCAGCCATCATCTTCATCAGGATGTAAAAGAAACTGAAGTGTGTTTGAGCAGATTCATACTAAAAGTCAAAATCATCTTGAGCACCAAAGACTAAATGATCTAGTATATGTTCGTTACAATCTCAATTTAAGGAATAGTTAACATTTGCAACTACTTTTAAATATCTTTTTAAATAATGATGCACATTATATTTATAAAATTTTTATAACAATTATGTAGGTTGCAACTAAAAAAAAGTTATGATCATTTGGACTACACAAGTATTAAACTTGTTAACTTTTGGATCCTTAATGATGAGTCAACTCCAAAATTGCATTCACAAGACTTGAAGATAGAAATTTACAAAAACGATGCAATTTCTATAGATATTGAACAAAATATAACATCAATTTGACCAACCCCAAGTAAGTTGAAGATTAACTTATATCTTTTTAGTGTAATATAAAACATAAACGTATTATTTCACATTAACGATTTGTAGATGAAGACAACTTAGCTAATATATGTGATGGAGATGACATACTTCCATATGAGGATGTTGAAGCATTTAGGGTGTAAGATTTTGGTGAAAGAGGATTTGTGAACCCATAATTTGATCACATAAATTTAGCGAATGATTATCAGATTAAATAAGAGTGTTTTTAGTTTTGAGTTTTTTATATAAACTGATATAAACAATTGAATGACAATTATTACTTTTTTGTCTCTATGATATGAATTTGTGACTTTATTCTCTATATGTTTTGAGTTTTTTTATGTTACTTATATTTCATAGCCATTAACTAATAATCCATTCATTTTGAACAGTTTCACATGCTAAAGAAAGAGAACTAAAGATGATATGCATTCCTCAACCCAATACACAATAGAGGCTCTACAATAGGTATGCATTTCTCCCCCATTGCAATGTTGTTTAGTCATCTTGTGCGAGAATCGGGAGCCACGGGATCGCTAGACCACCTCATGCAGGAACTTGGAGTCGTAAGGTGTGCCGTTTAGTAGTGCTATTACTATTAAAGTTACTTGTCATTTATTATATTAATTATAAATCCTACTTTAAGTTATTTGTGAAATATTTATTTATGTTTTCTAAACTTAATTGATGTCACATTTATGTTATGTGTTATTTGTTTATGTTTTGTAGACTTGATTGATGCTCACCTAAGATGAAACTGTGTTATTATAGAAGCAAATAATTCTTATAGGCTAATGTGGAGGTCAATACAATTTTGTTGTGTTGCAAAATTAGTCTATTTTGAGTTGTCACATATGCTTAATGAATGCCAAAATAGTGATGATCAATCATTTCAAATTTTTTGATGCAAAACTATTTCTTAAATTCAAGCAAGTTAGAAGAAATGCATAGGGGTTAATTTGAAAACATTTAGGTGCTTTGATATGCAAATGGAATTTAGAGTGAAGGTAGTAAGTTTCAATAAAATTCATAAGAGTTATAGAATGTTAAATGGTTGCGGAGGTGAAGGTGATTTTATTAATTTTTAATAATATTATTATTTATTAAGTCATCAAGTTCTAACCCGGTTCGACCGATCGAACTGTGAATCCCTACTTTCGATTCATTGTATGGTTCGATTTTCACAACCATATTATTCATATGATTTCTTAGTAAGCCGACATCTGATTTTTTTTCGGATGTAAAATATAATTTTTTTTATCATTTATATTGTGAACAATATTTTATTAATAATTATATTGACCTTACGAATTTTGGTGTTATGTCTAAAAATAACTCAACTATATCTATGGTATTATTTAAGATTTTATTTGATTTTATCAATTTATAAAATTAGTATTTTAATTTTAAAAATTATCATAATTGTTTATCCACTTCCATCAACATTAAAAGTCATTATCTTTGATTTTTAAGGGTAGAATAAAATTTTAAGGGTTAGAATTCAAAGTACAAATTTTTTTTTTAATAATTTTATTTTAAATACATAGAATTAATCATGATTTATTACTTTTTGAAACAGATGTCAGCAACAAGTCAGAAGAATAAGACAGACTCTAATCAAAGAAAGACACCCTAACTTAACTTATCAAATATGTACTGAACTTCGGGCAGAACTAAGGGCGCAGCTTCCCCTCTAGTTTATTTGGGCGTGAGGGACCGCTAAAGTAGGACTTGGCTTTGATTTTGAACTCAAACTAATTAACCCTACAGCATCTATCTATCACTGAACTCAATTCAACTGCTGGAAGAAAGATTATCTACTTATTAGACTTCAGGAGCAAGAAAGAATAAATTTTATTATAACTCTTCATTTAGAATTGTATTATGTTAAAAAATCTCCATGAAGCATATATAAGTTAATGTGATAACATGTGCGCATAAATACTCATTCATTTTCAACTTATTTATATTACTTTTTTTTAATTCTATTTATTTTCAATTATTTTTTAACTAAAAGCAAATAAACTTTATCCTTCAAACGCTCTTTAATTACATATTAAACAACTAAAACATTAATCGACCATATATCTATAATTGACAATATTTCTACACATTTATGAATAGTTTTCAGGCAAAATTAAGACAAGGATGTTTTATTCAATCTGCTCAAGAAAGTCGCACACACAGGGAGCTCAAGCCAACCTAATCAATATAAGATGGTTAACTTGCAAGAAGATGGTCGCATATTACAGATACCCAAACAAACATAAACAGCAGAAATTGACTGATCGTCTTACCAGTGATTCCAGGAAGAAAGGGGAGGAGTCTCAGAGTTCTTCCAGGTCTGCATTCCAGCGCCATATCTATCACCTTTCACAGCGTCTTCTGAAGCAAATGATTCAAGTTCAGCCAATTCTTCAGGCGTAAGCTTCACAGAGAGTGCACCAACGTTCTGGTTGAAGTTTTCGATCTTTGTAGTGCCAGGAATGGGGACTACATCGCTTCCCTGGTGATGCACCCAAGCCAGTGCAAGTTGTGAAGGAGTGCAACCCTTTCTTGATGCGATTTCCTTCACTCTCTCGAAAATTTCAGCATTTTTTTCTAAGTTTTCAGGTTGAAATCTTGGCAGCGTCTGCAATTTGTTACTTAGTTTTAGAAATACTTTCACCTCGAGCATCAATAAAAAAAATGTCTCCTAAGAAAATTTATGATGAAGTATTAAAGTCGCTACAACAAAAATACACTTCGAGAGGGGAAAGCATGTTTAAATCTCATGGTAAGATGGATGAGGATTACGACATGCAACATACTTGTAGTTTTTGTTAATTATAATTATGGATCAAATATTTAGCTGTAATTAAGTTCTATTAATTTGTACTAGTTTGTTTTATTTTAAAACATGTTGTTTAAAGCTAACAAATTTTCTTTCTTTTAGCTTCTTGTGTAGCTTCTCTTGTATGTGGTTTGGTTTTCATGCTTTCTTCTTAATATAAGCAGGTGGGGCCTTTGCAAGAAAAGGAAGAAGAGATTGATCAGATGATTTTGCTCCTTAAAATTTCTTAAGATTAAGAACGTTTCTTGTATGGAATAGGTAACCTAGATCTATCTTTGTTCATGCTATTGTACTTCATTTGTGCAAGTTAATAATAGCTGCTAGTCCACTTTCTCTCTGGGGATGTAGTCACCTCATGCCGAATCATATAAATCCTTGTGTTCTTTATGTTTGTTGGCTGTTTTTAATATTCTTGCATATATCTTGTAATACATTGTATAGCTGGTGGCTGATTTTATGATTCTTTGTTTTACATTGTTTATGTTCAAATTTGCAAGATTCTTAGTTAAGAGAATTATTGTTTCGGTGATAGAAGTTTGCTCTTATGAATGTTGGCAAGAAACCTTTGCTTAGTTGTTCATATCCTATTGGCTATAGCTATTATTTGTAAAAGTAAATAAATAAAACAAGTTTTGATTAGAAGCAAGATCATTTTAGTCATAAGTTTAGGCAAGTTTTAGTGAAGAAACGTTTCTAATATTCTAATTAAATGAAAAATTAATTGGTAACTTGCTGATTTTTTATTATTGTAATTAAATAATTAATATAATCTTAATTTCACTAGCATGTGTGTTTTGTTCTAATTGTAGGCAAATTTGGATTTCAATAGTTTAAATAACTCAATTTAAAAAAGATCCTGAATCAATTGGGCATTTTAAAGTCTCAAAAAGGTTTAACAGTTTTTTTATCAGGAAAGGGCATTCTTCAACAAGAGAATCATGGAAGTTTCTTTGCATAACATAAGACTGTAAGAGTAACTTTGATGTAGTAGAAATGCTACTGATAAGGCAAAGTTTTCACCCCCTCTGCATATCAAGAGGCGGGTGGAAATTCGTCAATACACTACCTTGAAAATATTTATACCAAATGCTTTTCGTTCCATATAGACTAATTTAATATTCGTTTTCATAGTAAAGGAGTTCGGCAAGAAACATGCTTAGATAATCTTTGGGTTGATGCGCAGTTAAGTAAAAAAAATGATGGATATCCTTCCATAGCCTGCAACTCTATACAGAATTCTCCTTCGAATAACCTAAACAAAGTTGAATCTCAATGCGAGAGCAACTGTAAATGGCATATTAGATAATCTATGGGTATCAGTGGTGCTGGAGACTTCTTAATTTTTATACTTAGATCAACTAACAAGAGCATTCTAACATGTTAATCAACAACTAGCACATTAGTCCAGTTTGTAATTATTTATTAAACTCTAAAACAAACAGTCAAATTAAAGAGAAATGTACATTTTTCAAGCATGAATATGCACCTTGCGGAAGTCATGGCTTGATAGCTCATCAGCTACCTGCGGACCATAAGAGAAGAAGCCCCTCCCAAGTGGGCTGTATGCAACAATACCTATTCCAAGTTCCCTGTTACGTAGATAAAATAGAGAGATAGTTTAGGGGAAACAATATCATTAACACCCTACGCCATTCCAATAATGTCTAATATATATAAAACAAACCTGCAGGTAGGAATGATATCAATCTCAACATCCCGTGACCACAAAGACCACTCTAGCTGCACTGCAGAAATTGGATGAACTGCATGTGCCCTCCTAATTGTTGAAGCAGAAGCCTCAGACAATCCTATATATTTTATTTTTCCTTCCTCAACTAGCTTCTTAAGTTCTCCCACCTTAAGATTAAATGGTAAAGTTGGTAACTTGGTTTTAGTGAACAAAATCCTTCTAAAGTACAAACATATCAAAGAAATGCGCAAAAAAAAAAAAATTATTTCATGTACTTATATATATTATCATCATCATTAATCGTATCATTAATTTGTGGTTTAGGCATGTGAGCTTATATATGTCAGCATAAATATCATTAGCTTATATAAGCTAATATAAATGTACATCAAGACAACATCAATCCACAATAATTATAAATAAATAGTAAAAAAATGTTGTGAAGTAATTAGAAGCATGAGCATATTAATCTGCATCATTCTAATGGTATATTGAAGTGTTAATAATCATTATATTTAAAATGCCTAAGTTAATAAAAAAGGTTTATTCAGTGCTAGAGCCCTCACCAAGGATCTAAGGAGGGAATAACTTTACCCTGGAATCTCCCCAAGCCAATATGGCATGTCATTAAAGTGAAGTTTGAGGGAATAAAGCCCAACCACTATTATCTACAACGTACATTACAAATTAATATTCCAATGCTCCATGGCTAACCTATTCTTACATCCAACCTTTCAAATCCAGATTGCATGGCGCACTTGAAATTAATTGAAACCAAGCCCATTATCTACGTATTTCATATGGCATTGTTGCATATATGCCGAATGCACAGTGTCTTTACAATCATTTTTTTCCTTGTAATGTCAAAGGATTGAACTTTAGCTAATTATCAGCCACCATAAATCAAAATTTTCTATAAAACATACATTTATTGAATTTTATGATAACTAAAACTAGTACTTTCCGGTCAGCAAAGCTAACCAAGAGTTCAATATCAGAGACTAGATTCCTTAAAAAAATGCGTGCCCTTGAACAAAGCATGATTAATTATGAAGAGTGCTCTTGTGTCAGGACCAAGTGTTTTCTTTAGTAAATGTGTTAGCTCGTGAGCCAGCTCGAGCTCGTAGAATAAAGCTCAAGCTCTAGCTCTAGCTTAATCAAGCTCAAGCTCAAGCAAGGTAAATCAAGCTTAACTCAACTCGTTTATAGCACTAATTATGGCACTCGGCCTCCGAATGTTTCAACCAGTTAATTAAAAAACATAAATAAATGTTTTAACCAATTAATATTTTGGAAGGAATTATTTCCACTATAGTAGTTTTCCTTAATATTGGCCGTGAAAATAAGACACAACACAATAGATGTAATATGTATAATTTTGTCGTCTAGTTGTTTTAGTTTTGTTGTTTATTTTTTAATTTCACTTAAAACAAAATTATATTTGGTTGTGTATTTGTTTCATGTTTTCATAATGGATGTTTTGGAAACAAGAGAAAACATCAAATATGCTGTTTTCAATATTAATTTATTTCCAAGAAACAGCTAATAAATATGTTTCCTAACATACGTAGCTATTTTTGAAAAAACAAAATTATAAAACGAACAGGCCCCTAGATTTATTTTTGTTTTATTTCTTTTGAAAAACATGTACTTTAGGAAAAAAAACATATTTAACAACTATGAATAACAGAGAAATTTGCTTAGAGATAAAAAAGGAATAGGAGATTACTTTTCCTATTACTTTTTTTTTTTTGGCATTTAGGCCAATTAAGGGTAGACTCATACACACATCGTATACACAACACTCGAACCCAAGATCTCTTATTGGTAGCCTAAGCTACCAACCAACAGACCAAGATGAGTTGTGTATTAAGAGATTACTTAGCTAATCTACTTTTAGTACGAGACGGTAGATTTCATAAAGTAAAGCACAACACAGACACAGAGATTAAATTGATTCAGTTATGTGACCTTAATCCACTGTGAAAATTGAGAGTGAGAATTGTATTAAATCATAGGAGAAAAGTACAAGATTGTAATTGCAAAGAGAGCCGAAAGAAGTCGTTATAGAAAACTTTTATATTAGAAGAAGTCAAAATGGATCCCGGCCTCCAAAAGACTTGTAAGAAAGATGAAGGAATTAGTCCAATCTTTTACTTTGGGACTTCAGTAAAGTTTAGGATGTCTTTATTATCCCAATGGAATTGGGCTTATATACTCAATTGTATCGGATAGTTTTAGCATACCCGGTAGAGTCGTATAGTTTTTGTACACTTGATAGACTTGCATCGGCTCTGTATACTCATTGGAGATAGGCAATCTAAGCATGCCCCCATTTAGTTATAAAAATATAAATACACCCACCTAAGATTTAGTTAAGCCCTGCATGACTGTAACTCAATCTTTTCGGGACTGTGATAGAATCATAGAATACATCAAGAATTTTGATCATCCTTTAAGACCATTCGCGAAGATCTCACTCAATGATCATAGTTCGTTATGGAAGATGTCAAGATGAGTCCACCAAAGATTAATCGAACCCTTTTGAGATGCATCAATGATGCATATAACTTAATTCTTAACACTCTGAAGATCAAGTCAACCTCAGACTGGCCTTGCCCTATCACGTACAAGAACTTGCTAAGGCTAAAAAATCTAACTTGAGAAAGATGAACCATGTTTGAGGTGCAGTACAGACGGTACAATCTTAGAATTACAAACACTATGTCCACCTTGGACTTACTTTGCCCTTCCAAGGTTGAAATTACAACCTTGCCCAGGGTGGAAAATTGAGCTTGTGATTGTTGGACCTTTTTTTGAGGTGCAACATAGATGAGCAAGACCTTACTCAAGATTGTGAAGACAACCTTAGCCTTCCAAAGTCAAATTCATGACCTTGCTAAAGGTGGAGAGTCCACTTAAGGGTAAAAGGTCCAACTAGGTATTGTTGAACCCTTTTAAGGGAGTGGGAGTGTATAACCTTACTCAATGATGTGAAGATGTGGTCCGCCCATGGCTAAACTTACCCTTTCAAAGTCAAAGTCATAATATTGCTAAGAGGCGGACATTTAGGCTAAGGATTATAAATGTTGCATGGCAATGCAAATATGAAACTTTTAAATTATTGTCAATCCTAAGCCAATATTGTGGTGTTTAAGTTATTGAACTGAAGTTAAAGGCATCCAACTTAGCATTCTTGATATATCTTTACATGAACGGGAGCTGCCCCAACCATCCCCCCCTAGGGTGATTTATTGGTAAAGTTTCACCAACTATAAAGATGCCATATGTTGATAAACAGATAAAGAAACTTTGATGGAATGATAGACCAAGGAGTAGTAATCAAAATTAACTTAGAGGAGCAAATGATGTGATTGGCTTGAGCAATGAGGTTGCATGAAGATCATGATTGGTTGAGGGGCAGGCATCAAAGTTGAATAATGTAATACAAGTGACATGACCACCAAAGTCATGCAAGAGATGATGTTAGTTGAGTTGTAAGCAAGAGGTAAAGATGTTGATGATGGTTGAGGAGCAAATATTGAGGCAGTTTGAAGAGATACAAGTGAAGATGATGGTTGAGTGAACATAGAGGCGGCGGTGTAAAGAGGTATAGATGATTATGATGACTAAAATGTGATCATTGAAGATGCATAAAGGGGAACAAGAGATAATGGCTGAGAAATAATCATCAAAGATGCATAAAAATGTGCACACAAGGGTGTTAATCAAGGGGCAAGCATTGATGCTACATAAAGAGGTGCATAAAATGATGTCATGTGGGAAGCAAGCATCAAAGCTACAAATAAGTGACATTATTTGTAAAAGAGAGAGCATTGAAGCTACAAGTTTCAATTAAGCTACGAGTATAGGTTGGCACTACAACACCATTGTTATCCCTAAAAGAATTTACTAGATGCTCTCAATAACAAGTGAGCCTCCTATATTGCACCTTAAGACATGATGTCGGGATCAAGAGTTCTCTAATGCTAATGATTGCTAAAACAAGAAGGGTCGGCCCATACAAGGAGGAGAGTTTCAACCTTTCTATATCTCCAAAAGGGGTGGTAGTGCATTGCATAGTGCACAAAGGTCCAAGTTGAATGGTTTGTGTTACACCAATCGATGATAGTGGAATGGATTCCAATAGATGATGTCAATCTAATACATATAACAAAAGCCCTTGGATACCAGTAGAATTTGTGTTAATGGGTTTTCTTGAGCACAATTTTGTGCCTTGCATACAATTAACAAAAACAAGAGGTTGGCAAGAAAACCTAAGGATTGTCCCTATGAAAACCATTCACTGCTCAGGTCAACAATTGAGCTGAAAACAAAAACAAAAGCAATATAGTTTCCACTGTGTAATGAAAGAGCAATGACTCAAAGGAGAACCTTTCTCCCTTCAAAAAAAGAATAGAAAGAATGAAAATTAAACTTATATTACCCCCTTGGGAATTTTTATTAGGGATTACATGAAATGTATTTTCATTCATTAGCAATTATATAATGAATTCATAATCAATATTAATTAGGACATACATGGAAAACTTAAATGTCCCTTGATTAAGATGTTTTAATCCCCTAGTTGATTACATAGTAAAATACCTATTCATATAATTTTTAAGATCTGTATTAGATTAAAAAGTTCCTTGATTGAGGGTATTTTGGTGCTTTGGTCAATTGAATAGATGGGTGGATGGAGGTCTTCAACTCCAAGATTAGTTCCCTTTAAAATCTTCAACACTTCATCCAATCTATGTTGGTATCCTTGAGATTAATATTGAAAATTATTTAAACTAGACAATCAAATTTGCGTCAGAACCCCAAAATCGATCAATTAGATGTGTTTCATCTGCTTGACAGAGGGTTGACAAGCATTCTAACATGATATGATACTATAAGAGCTAAGGTGGTCATCATCTCATTCAATAAACGTGCGGAGATCATTAGAGCGCAATTCTCGACATGGTTAGTTGGTTTCCTGAAATTAATTCAAAGTAGGAGCAAATCAATTTGAAGTAGCACTTAATTTTTCATCTTGAACCAATTGAAACTGCAATTATCTAATTATTAGTAATAATAGCTATTAAATACTATAGTTTGTATCTAATTACTAGGAAAGCTTACAATATCAATGATTAATCAATTACAGTCATCTCATCAACTATTAGCTGCTTAACAACTACAAATAGAAGCACTCTTAAGCCAAACATCACGATAATGTATCAGGATCAAATTGATTTGATCGTATTTTCCATATATCTCTGATTTTGAAACAGATCTTAAAAATCATTCATTTAATCATATTAGAGGAATGGAATTGGTGACTGATTATAGTGCAATAAACATGATAATTGGAAGGATTAGAATCCCCTCAATTGGAGGTGAGCTTAGCTCAAAAAATTATTGTGATTAAATCAGTCTTTTACTCAATATTGACACTAATACAACACTAATACTAAATAACATAACATTAAAATACTAACTCAGGGCACACAATAATTTAAAGCTAAACCAACATAAAAATCTCCCCAACCGGGAGTGGCAGAAGAAACGTACCGTAACTTCGATGGGGACACGCGTGTCAACCCGATGCTGGTAATATAGATCGATGCAGTCAACACCAAGTCTCTTCAAGCTCCCTTCGCAGGCCGCTCTCACATAGGAAGGGTCCCTTGAGATTTCCCTCCTCCCGTCATCATAGAATCTGATTCCGAACTTGGTCGCGAGTTCAACTTTCTCTCTAAGCCCTTCTTTTAGAGCCTACATTGAACAACAATCGTGCAAAGCAATTTGCAAAACCGTCAGCTAAAACACTAAGCACTAAAAGAGGATTATAAGATGCGGATCAAAACCTTTCCCAGGAGGATTTCGTTGGTGAAGGGTCCGTAGACGTCGGAAGTATCAAGAAACGTGACGCCGGAACGAACGACGTGATAGATGAGCGCGATCATGTCTTTCTCCGGCTTGGCCGGGCCGTAGAAGGCGGACATGCCCATACACCCGAGCCCCTGGAGCGAGACCTCAAGCCCTTGCGACCCGAGCTTGACTCGAGGAACGAGAGTGGAGTCGGCCATGGCTTCCCTCTTTTCCAATTCTTGGTTCTACTGCTTCAGATTGTGTTCGCTGTCGCGGGGTACCTCTTCATTCATACTTGGCGTTCATTTCGCGTTGCGATTTTTAAAATATTATTTCCCTGAATTTGCTAAATCCACAATTAATCTAAAAATAAGAGAATATTAATATTTAATGTTATAATAAGATTTATCTTAACTTAAAAATATTTTACAAAAATAATCTTAAATTATAATTAAATATTGACTCTAATATTCTCAGTGACCCACATCATAAAAATCATAAAGTAAGATATTTTATAATGATGAGATGGGCATATAGATCTAATTTTATTTATGAAGTGATATTGAGATTTTATTATATTTCTGGGCTTAGTCTAAGATTTTTAAAGAGAAAAACAAATAAATTATGGCTTAAGTATTATCTTTTATTGCTAGGAAATTACAAAGCGGTTTTTTGGGCTCTTAGACAAATAAATAGCATGTAAAATCATAAATGTAGATATTCTAGACAGACATAATTTTAGAGATTCTAGATAGAAAACCTATTAAGAGTTAACAAATGAAGGGTTTAATGATGTGATGTAATACTTACACTTAATTAATGACCTTTATTTATAGGCAGAGTTAAGGTCAATGATATAGGATGCGTTACAAAAAATAAAAATGGTGTATCAATTATATGAATATAGTCATTCTTATGGCTGGTTTCATTTGTCTATTTGGTAGAATTGTGGACAAGTTATGAGAATTAGACAAATTCCAATAAGAGGACAAGTGCCTTTAACGAGTTCTCTTAGGCTTCATTTGGGACGACTTTCTTAATGCTTCTTAAGGCAGCTTTAAGAAGCAGTAAGAAAATCGTCCCAAATGAAACCTTAATGCGAATCTCTACTATATGAACGAGTACTTTGTATGATGGCCGAGAGTTTGATGATAAATAGCCTTATATGGCATGCAACATATGGTGTTCCTTAGGCAAGTTCAATGCCTAAATGCATAGATCATAATAGGACTCGTTATTCTTGGTGACTTATAGAGCCACAATTTTAAGCAAGTAAGGGCATGTAAGATTATGGGTGACTTGAATGCTTGGCAAGAGAACCTTTTTGATGATCTCAAAAGGAAAGAAATTATATGCCGGTGCACATAAAAAATGATGTTAAGCATATGCATGCATTTAAGTGGAGAATTTATTTTTCTTTTATACATAGAATGTGAAAGAGTTTAATTTTATTTATTATCATCGTTATTATTCCATCACTCCAAAATTCGTTTATCATCATCATCAAACAAAGGGATATGATTAACCTATGAGCCTATATGATTCATATTTAACACATTAGTGATTTGACGATAAAACAATTTTGTATGTTATCATCTAATAATTTATAAGTGCTACAAATTTATTCGATCAACATAATCTTTTTTATGGTGATACATGTGTTTAGAGTTCAAATGGAATAAATTTATAAGTTGGTGTTATGTTATCATCCTTTGCATATATTTTTTTTATTCAAATAGTTTTATTTAGCTTAAATATTTATTTGATATCATTACTTGGATGTATTTTTAGAATCAACTTAATTGATATGAGTTTTTGTAGTTATATAATTAAGTATCATATAAATTATATTTTTGAATACATAATTGTCTATGATGCATACCCAATTATACTGAGAATAATGAGTGAGAATAGAGAAGAAAAAGAGAGTGAGAGAAAAAAAAAAATTAAAAAATGATAAACCCCAAGATTTATACTGAACAAGTTTGAGTATAAATTTTTTTGTAAAATAAGCTCATTCCTTCTTTGACCCCCTATTTTGAATTGGGGCCTGAGCATTATAGAATTGGTCATATACAGATCTATATAAGAATAAACAAAAAAATAGAAAACATGTATAGCTTAATTAGGATGTTCTACTAGTAAAGTTGTCAATCAAGCTCATAAAAAGTCTCTGGCTTGGCAAGTATTGGTGAATAAATAGCTTGTAAATATTTTTGCAAATGAAGTTGCTAGTCTTGAGTTTATAAATCATACTTAATTGCTTGGGATGAGTTCTTAAATCACATTCACCTGATTGTGGCAAGTTAATTTGTAGACTTTTGAGTCTCACTTGAGCTAAACCCAAGTAGTCTGACTTGAATTATCTTGAATTGGGCTAACTTGACTTGAACCCGATTTTTTGAATATTTGGAGGTACATACATAATGCTTAATATAATCTACTCATCTTATAAAATATCACATATAGTATTGCTTATTTCATATATGTATCTACTAGGTTTTTTATCTGGTCATCATAATTATGGCTTTCAAGTATTAGATTATTGATCGCTTTTGTTGTGCATGATTCCTATAGCTTTTATATTGGATTAGTTCATTCGCGGTGAACTTTAAGAAGTAGTCCACAAATATAAGAGGGGCTTTTTGTGTGAAACAAATTTTTGGACATATTTTTTCGAGAAAATAAAGATCATAGATATTTGACCAATTAAAATTGAGTGTGATTTAATACTATAAAAGGGAAATTTGACTTTATATGCATCATAATAACAAAAATTAGGGAAATGTATTTGTTATTATTATTTTTTATGGAGAAATATGCTTGAAATTCATTTTTAGCCAAATTATCCTTAATGGTGATAGTTTTTTGAAGTCGAGCATCTGAAATGAGCCAAATATATTCAAATTTGAAGCTTTTTCAAACACATGTTTGAACTTAATTCAAACCTAAATTTGAGTTTGATTCTAATCAAAACAAGATTCAAAGTTGTTCGATCCTTCTTTAAATACTACTCGAGTATAGTTCAAACATTGTTTGAACTGGGCTCGATCATGCGAACCCATCTTCTCCTTCATACATAGTGCTCCAGTTAATGACTTCTTAGTGAGTTATTGTAGTGAATCGTTCTTCTTCTTTATCCGTCGTCGATGTTGTTGACGCCTTCCGTCAGCAACCACTTATTGCAAACGCTTCTCACTTCTACAAACCATCAATTCGTTGATGCCATTCCAAGCTTTGACCTTCACATACCATCGGCCCTAGTGACACCTTCACTTAGTGAGCTCCCATTGTGAACACCTCTCATCTTCATATACCGCCACTCTCGTTGATGCCATCCCCAAGAAAGATATGGTTTCTTCTCACCTTGACCTCTCATCTAGCTATTGCATCACGAGCAATGCCGTTCACTCTATATTGAAATCGTTGATAATGACATTCATGCCTTTCAGAATGACAAATAATAACATTCATGTCGCTCCTAATAGAGAACAACTACTTTGCTCAATTTAATTCGAGGTTCGAACAAATTTCAAAAAATATTTAGACACTGTTTGAATCTAATTCGAATTTGATTCAAATATAATTTGGACGATGTTTAAATTAAAATTTCGAATCATTAGTGACAGATTTCTATGAGAAGGCCACATATACAAGTGAGAGTATTTTGATATAAATGAATCATATTTTTCAAAGACAAAAATAATGAGCATAGTTATCTAATTTTCATCATTTTGAGACATAAAATTAAAATTCCCCTTAAAATATCTGCCTCAATAATTATTTTTTGGGGCAAAATTAGGGTCTACTTATAGCGAACGACTCTATACTACACCTACTGCTTTGGATCCATTGAGGATGAAGTGAATCTTGCCTCAACATTTATATGCACAGATCTTCTCATTTCTCTCCCACCTTTCCTTGTCCTCGATACCTCACCACTACTGTGATCAGGAACACCGTGTGACTGAACAACGAGGAAGCAAAGGAGAAAAGAGAGAGAAGTGGAGAAAGAAAGAATCGGCGATGGGAGTCGATTACTACAAGATCCTCCAGGTCGACAGAAACGCCAAGGATGACGATCTCAAGAAGGCCTACAGGAAGCTCGCCATGAAATGGCACCCGGACAAGAATCCAAACAACAAGAAGGAGGCCGAAGCCAAGTTCAAGAGGATCTCAGAAGCCTATGAGGTATTTCGGATCGTTTAACGTGCAAACTATGTCACCATTAGACCAAAGATCCAAACTTGGCTCAACCCCTATTGACATTCTCCACAGGTCCTCAGTGATCCCCAGAAACGAGCAGTCTACGATCAGTACGGCGAGGAAGGGTTGAAAGGACAGGTCCCTCCGCCAGGTTCAGGCGCTTCAGGAGGATCTTCCTTCTTCAGCGGAGGGGACGGATCCACTACGTTTCGGTTCAATCCAAGGAGCGCTGACGACATTTTTACTGAATTCTTTGGGTTCTCGAGCCCATTTTTTGGTGGGGGTGGCAGCGCAGGGGTCAATGGAATGAGGGGTGGCTCGAGATTTCCTAGTGGGATGTTTGGTGATGAGTTCTTAGGCTCGCAATTTGGTGGGGAGGGGTCGATGAATCCGCAGCGGCCTCAGAAAGCGGCCGCTATAGAAAACCGATTGCCTTGCAGCCTGGAGGATTTGTACAAAGGGGGCACTAAGAAGATGAAAATTTCTAGGGAGGTTTCCGATAGGAGCGGGTGAGTCTGCGAAACATGTTACAGTGTTTTTCGTTTTCTTGTGCCCGTTTGGTCTAATGCGTCGGAACTCTGTTCTAGTTTTTCTATAGAAGGCCAATTACAGATGGGATTATAGTGTGCACCATTATGCGTTCTAATTGTTTAGGCAGGTCTTATTAGTGCATTCTTTGGGGTTCAGAACTAGTTGTCCAAAACGATTTTAGGTTTTAGCTAAGTTTTACGGCTAGGCTGCTCAATATCATTAATGTTGCCTAGCACATTTTAGTTTAATAGATTTGACGATTGATGATTTTTAGTTGCAACTCAATCGATTGGAATTAGTTTGATACTCTAATTTTGAAGTAGTTAAATTAGGCATATATTTTTCTTGTTTTGCTAAGTTGCTTGAGTTTTTTCTTGTACTTGATAGTGGTGACTATGGTTATTGTTGTGATGCCCCATAATTTAATTTGAAAGAATTATTTTTTTAATCTTTTAATTTATACAATCAGAGCCATCTAATTTCTTTTATCAATCTAAACAGTAGTAGAAATAAAACTATCTATCAAAACATCAATATATATATCTGTATTCATTTCTCAAAAATTATATATACTACTCAGGATCTATACATTCGTACCACAACTACTCTGTCATAAGTACAAAAGAATATCTAAAACAAAAAAAGAAATAGAACCTGAGGAATGCTGATCAATCTCACACTCATAATCATCTGCCCTAACCTAAAAATATTTTACCACTTATAATAAGCTCACAAAAGCTGAAATTAAAGAGGCCTCTTATCCTAGCTTTGGTCGAACTCCTCCAATCCCTAACTCCTCCATTGTTTTTTTTTTTCTCTCTTGCTTCACATACCTTCCAAGGAAGAAGACACTCCCACTTGGTCTACTTCCCCCATGAATGGCCGATCCTGAAAGAGACCATGGATTCATATACGATGATCAAGGAAGAGTAGATGCTTTGAGATCATCCTTCTTCGACCTCAACTTGGAGATTGACCACATCGTTGAAGACTTTGTCGACCGGATCCTCTTCACTTTGACGGTGGCCGTTGAAGAACATCAAACCTCTGGATAGTGGCGAGTTCTTCAACATTTACCAACTTCTTCCCCTCCGGCTAAGTTTTCGTCGGGTTATACTATAGGCGCCTTATGTCTTTTTGTGGCATCTTTAAGTTTGCTGCAATTATTCTCCCGTTAAAACAGCCTCAATAGTGATAGCGAGGGAAACTCAAGGTGAAATTTCTATTTGTTAAATGGTAGATTTATGTTACTTATGCATCTAGCTTTACTATAATCTTGTTGTTAATTTAAATTGTCCTACTAATCTCGTTTGTAACTGCATGCCAAAGCACATCAACAACTAAGAAATCCTAAAATCTAATATTGTGAAACATTAATTTTAAAATTAGCAAGCTTAGCATCTTTTTATTAACTTCCTGCAATTCCTATTATGTTTCACATCAAATATAATTATATAATTAATCAAAATTTCAATATACAAATGCATATAAATTTTATAGGGCTTCAAAATTTATAGAAAATATCCATAAAATAAATCATTTTATTTAAAAAATATTGCTAAAATTAGTTTGCAAAATGGACACATAACGGTTTCAAAATCCCCAGTTGTACCGACAGGTGTTGTCAAATTCTTAAGAATTTTCACCGGCACTAAAAAATCACGAAAAAATTTGTATAATTAAAATACTATAATATCAGTGCTATGACGAAGACGGTTTGTGGTTTTGACTTATATTGACTTTTGAAAAAAATAATTTTCCTGAATCAAAATACGGGATATTACAATTGTAGAGTGGTAATATTAATTGGATATTTCAGATGCGGAATTTAGACATATACACAAACTGGATATTCACATTTTTGCTGAATTGTGCATAAGTTTATTGGCTTTTTCTAGGAACTCTATAAACTAGAATTAGTATAATGTAAAAGTAGTTGTATTGGGCATAACTTTTACTTATTTTGAGAAGTTGGTTTAGTTTGTTGAGTTCTTGGCAGTGGTGACAAGGTTATTGCGGTGTGGTATTTGATATTGCTGATGTGGACTTTGAACCTACACATACTAGAGGTTCAAATCCTTGCTTAGAGCATGAGTTAGTGGTTCTTAAGTGTCTCTATTTTAGGATGCTTTGTTCTTTTAACTTTATATTGCTTGATGGAACAAACATATAATTATTTTGCAGAAGACTAGTTAGTTTTGAAAATCTTTTATAGGCTGATTTGTGGCTTGATATCAGACTTTTACTACTAAACTATACCTGCCATTATTCGATAGAAATGGATCATCACTCTAACATATTAATGAGACAATCAAGATAGCATTAATATCATGTAAATTTTTTAGTTGCCATGAAATGGGTAATAAAAACATGATCAAAATGATTTGTAGTAGGACCGGACATAATAAAAATGAAGATACTTCAAGAAGAGAGTAGACTATGTAGTTACTATCAACAACGGATCTACGCCATAACATGGAGATTAATTTCTATTTAAAGTAGTAGAATATTCGGCTCTGAATGCAATATATTTAGAAGAAAGAGCTTAATCACCAAAAACAAAATAGTAATCATGATTGAATACTTTAGATGCGATTAGAAAAAAAATCTAAAGAGGTAATTGACATGTGGTAAGATATTGGAACTTGAAAGAGAAACACAATTAATGTTAAAAAATAGATTGTTAAAAGAAGGAACTTGGAAATTTAAGTTTGCATTTGAATTATTATAGGTTAAGATAATTAATTATATTTAAGAGAGTCCTATGGAGGTTCTAATATTATAAGAAAGTTAAATGCAAGTAGTGAGACTTGGTGATGGAGTGAGGAGATGCAGAAAAAATGAATTTTTCTATGAGCCTCAAGGCGAATAGTAATCCCTAACAAGAAAGGAGTGATCATTTTTGGGTTGTTCGTTGATAAATATAAAACTAAGATTGAAGTTTCACTTTGCATGTTTGTTTGACAATAAGATAACACCTCTCTATGCTGTTAGATTTGGCTGAAGTGCTTTATTGAAGATACCTTTAACTAATGAATATGGTAAGAGAACGAGAAAGAAATGAGAAGAGAGCGTTGCTTTTTTTTTTGGAAGTAGGATTAGCATAAGAAATTGTAAAAAATGGAATTTTGTTCAGCTGGAATGGATCTAGTTGATGCCTATGTTAACCTAAATCATATTTGTAGAATTTTGCTTCAGCTAGGAAGAGAGCGTTGCCTTTGTCTTGTTTTAAAGGTACATGGAAGAATATGAGAAATATGTTTTGGAAATTAAATAATAATTTTAAGGAGTATTCTTTTACAAAATAACACGTGGGAAAACTAATTTTTGTCAAGAGTACATTTAGGCACATGCTGAATAAGTTAAGTACCTTTCTTTTCCCAAAAATATTGAACAAAACAAAAGGGTGCCTTGAAATAGTGAAATATGCTTATCACTCTTGAACTGCAAGAGCTTTTAATTGCATGCTTCAATTACACTTATTTTTTTATAATAGTGTGGATACTTTTTGACTTTTGCGTTGCTTGATTTTTCTTTCCTTGTAGTTCTTATTGTTGCCAAGTTATTGCTTCATTTTTCTATTAAATTTTGCATTTAATGCATTCAAAATTTTAATTGCTGTTCTTGTTTTAATGATAAAAGTGATTCCAAAAGAAAATTTGACCACACAATATATACTAGTAGGTATAAATGTATATTTTAGGAGTATAAAGAAAATGATCAGTAGAAATAATTGCCCTATGAAAGATAGTGTAATTTGAAAGGTGTAATTCTTCAATATAGATTGCTAGAAGATGTTAATTGAAACTCTTTAATGGTGGCGTAGTGAGCTGGAAATAGATGGCTAGTTCCAGTAACAATATTTTCATAGAAGGTTAAGAGAACCTAAAAATAAATCATACACTAATACAAAGAGATTTGGTGGCAGAATAGACATATACAAAAGGTTGTTAAGTTAAACTAATGTGTTTAAAAGAATTAAAAGATATATAATATTGAGACTTATTATAATGATTATAAGAAAGCTAGAAGTCATGAACTTAATGTTATAAACAAAGAAAAAACTATAATTTTTTATGCTAAACGTAATAGGCTTAGTGATAAGATAAGAAAAAAGGAGATATATAAAATAGCAAAGCGAAGAGATAAGTGGTCAAGTGAATTTAATCGAAAGAGATGGATCAGAAGCAAAAGTTCTAGGATCTTAATCTTAATTAAGTGTGGAGGCATAAAGTAAATATGGAAATATTGCTTCGAGAAATCATTAAATGAGATTTTAGAGTAAGCAACTATTTCTAAAGAACATCATAAGTGAAATAATGGGATATATTATAGATAAAAAAAGAAAGTATGGTGAAGCTAACTTTTATGAAGATGTATAAATGTGTAGCTTTAGGTCCATATGAGTTTGTTATTGACATTTGTGGAGTTATAAGGGATATTGCAATAGTTTTGTGCATAAGCCTTTTCAATAGATTCTTGAAGAGTAAGATGACAAAATAATTGGAAAAGAAGCATATGAAATGTTCATGGTTGCAGTAATCATAGACTAAGAAATTTACGAGCCATACAATGAATTATTGGGGAGAGTTTGAGCATTAGTTTGACTAGATATGTTGGATAAACAATTTGATTTCATGCTAGGAAAGTCTATTATGGAATTAATATTTGTGTATTAATACTTTGTAAAAAAATATAACGAGCATTGAAAGGATCTTCATATGATTTTATTAATCTTGAGAAGGCATATGATTGAGTATTAAGAAAATTAATTTTTTGTGTATCAAGGAAGAAATATAAGTCACAAGTAGGTTGGATTTACCTATGATTATATAATGGAACACTTTTTAGTTTTAGAAGTTGTGAAATGACCAAAGAGTCTTTGTTTGAATTATATCAAGAATCAACATCAAGTTCATATCTTTATGTTTTGGTTATGAATATGCTTATAAATATATTTAAAGTGAGTTACCTTGGT